CAATTGAGCTCAAAGAATAAGAGCCAGTGATATAAAAAAATCTATGAGAAAAAGCATCAACCTGGAAAACCAAAGAGAATCAACTGAAAAACCATTACAAAATACTAATAGTTCAGTGAGGTGACAACAATAAAACACTAAAAATTGACTGTGCTGTTCTGTATTAGCCAAAGCCACCTAAAAAATACAGGCGGGTGAGGAGTAGAAGAAATCTATTTATAATGACAAGCCAAAATATAAAAAATAACTAGGAATAAAAAGTTTTAGGGGCTTCTCTGATGGCACAGTGGTTAAGAACCCGCCTGCCAATGCAGGGGACACGGGTTCGAGCCCTGGTCCAGGAAGATCCCACATGCCGCAGAGTAACTAAGCCCGTGCGCCACAACTACTGAGCCTGTGCTCTAGAGCCTGCGAGCCACAACTACTGAGCCCTCGTGCCAAAACTACTGAAGCCTGCGCGCCTAGAGCTGGTGCTCCACAACAAAAGAAGCCACCGCAATGAGAAGCCCGCGCACACGGCAACAAAGAGTAGTCCCCACTCACCACAACTAGAGAAAGCCCACGTGCAGCAACGAAGACCCAACACAGCCAATAAATAAATAAATGAATGAATAAACTTATTTTAAGAAGTTTTAAATGCACAGAATCTGCACATAACTTCTGAAATTATATTAAGGGAGCATAAAGATTTGAAAAAATCAAGACAAGCATGGTAACACAGTATTACACAAATGGTGTTTTTCACTACATCTCAGGGGAACACAACTTGGTGTGGGACAAGATTCAACAGAAACATTCTATAGCTCATCTGGAAAAATTAATGTTTGGGAATATCTAGTACATTTTAGGGGAGGAGGGATGAAAGAACTTTCTCAATGAGATAAAAATGTATCATAAAAGCCTCAAAAGACAAAGAAACCAAGGTGAAAATCCAGTAAGACCCCAAATTTATGCTATAATAAGGGAACATCTTGAATCAAATGGGAAGGAATCAATTTTTCAATAAATGGAGCTGATACAACTAGCTATCAGGATTTTGAAAAAGGATGGATCTCTATCTCCACCTTACAAAGAAATGAGTTCCAGACCAATTAAAGACTAAATGTAAAAAACATAACCACCTGGGCTTCCCTGGTGGCGCAGTGGTTGAGAGTCCACCTGCCAATGCAGGGGAGACAGGTTCGTGCCCCGGTCCGGGAAGATCCCACATGCCGCAGAGTGGCTGGGCCCATGAGCCATGGCCGCTGAGCCTGCACGCCCGGAGCCTGTGCCCCGCAACGGGAGAGGCCACAACAGCGAGAGGCCCACGTACCGCAAAAAAATAAATAAAAAATAATAAAAATTTAAAAAAAACATAACCACCTGATATGATACCAAAGGCAGAAAGAAATAATAAAGGAAACAAATAATAGATTATATAATCTAATATTTATTAATGTCAAGCACAAATTTAAAAGGTAATCAAACTGTGTTACTAGCCTTACTTTATAAAGCATTCATATAATCAATAAGACAATTCCTCTAAGCCACTCACAGAAGAATAAGAAGAAACACAATTAGCCAAGAAACACATAGGGAAAAAATGTTCAATTTTATTCACAATTTTTTGGGTTTTTTTAAAAATAGTACCATCATTCACCTATAAAAAGGCAAAGACTGAAAAGGTTAAGTCACTATCAGGAAGAGTTAGGTGAACTGGACACTCATTGACTACTGGTGGGGAACAAGAGTGGAATCTTTCTGCAGTGTGGTGGCTAAAGCAAGAGGGCGCTGGAGCCAGACTTCCTCCGTTTAAATGCCGCTAGCTATTTCCCAGCAGTGGGAAAGTTACTCAAACATCTGTGTAGCTCACTGTTCCTTACCTGTAAAATGGGAATAAAAATATTTCTTGCCTTATAAAGTTAAGAAGTGAGTTAAAACACGTAAAACACAGAGAATCAGCCCAGGCACGTTATAAGCACTAATGGCTACTACCTGTTACTATTATTTATGTTTGAACACTTCTGTAACACCATGACCTACTAACTGCTAAAGTCAAAGACCTGTTTTGGTCCTCAGTCTTTCTGTTCATCACACATATTACTGCTGGAAACTTTTTCTATCTTAAGTTTCAAAATACTGCAATAACCTGGTTTTCTTACCTTTCTGTAATTTTTCTACTGTTAAAAAAAATTTCAAGGTTCTGTCCATGATCTTTTGATCTTTTTAACTTTTTTCTACATAATCTTGCTCAGGGAACTATCTATTCTCACAGTTTCACTTTAAATTTAATTTGCCTTGATTAAAAAAAAATTGCGTCCAAATAAGCAGCACATCCTTTCTTACCAGCTCCTTTCATTCTTTTTTTTCATGGTAATACTATTCATCATCTGGACTTGACCCCGTATACTTGTGACTCCTCCCTTTTATTCCCCATTTCCAGTAAGATGACCCATTTTTTACGTTGTTCTTTTAAAACCTTCCTCAAATACGTTCTTTCCCTTCCATCCCACTACCACCATCCACAGACAATTATAACAACACCTTAGCAGTCTATCTTTTTGACTTCCCTCCTCCTATCCATCATCAGTCATTCCTGGTTCTCAACAGAGTAAAGAACAAAGTAAAAGCTCTAAAGTTAGATCTTATAGCCTTTCCACAATCTGATCCCAAATGCTTTTTCAGAATCACCTCATAACACTTTTACACTTCTCCATATTGTACTTTAAATAGATGGCAATCATTTTCTAAATATCCTTGTTCTTTCCTATCCCAGTTAGCTTGGCTTGTATTAATCTCAATACCTAGAATACTCCTCCCATTTCTGTAGAAATACAATCTTACCCCATTCTTCCTCTTAGGTCAAATACTACCCCCTTTGAGAAATCGTCTTTCAGTCCTCTGAACACTATCTGCACCAATTTTATAGAACTATAATATAATTTCCTGATTAAAACTCTCTATTCCCTTACTCAACAGAAGGTTGATGAAAAGCAGAAAATATGCTTTGCCAATATCTAACTAGCATCACTTCAAATATATTGTAGCAGTCATGGGATTATTTATTTAATTAATGAATTTCAGTCTGATTCAGATTCTTCCTTGTACTAATATAGAGGTTCTGGTTTTTTGTTCTGTTTCCTTTTGTTTTTCAAACTGAAGAACCCTTTCTTCAAATGAAAAATGATGCAAGAAGAGTCCAAAGTGACAAATGGGCACCCAAAGTAGGGTCTGTCTCCCTACTCTATGGAGGGTCACAAGTGAAAAGCTACACCCTATGCCCTCCTCCAAAAAAAAAAAAAAAACCCAAAGGGGCTTTACTGAGTACAGAGTGTACCATTATTATTATTTATTTTAGAATCCAATAAACCTCTGAAAGGTACTACTGATCACTAATAAATCAGTATGCTCTATATATATTTTATAAGTACTTTCTTTTTTCAACCAGTTGAAAGATTTAGGGAAAAGCTATTAAAAAAAAAGAAAGAAAAGGGGACTTCGCTGGCGGTCCAGTGGTTAAGACTCTGTACTCCCAATGCAAGGGGCACAGGTTCGATCCCTGGACAGGGAACTAAGATCCCACATGCCACATGGTGCAGCCAAAAATAAATTAATTAATTAAAATAAAATAAAAACTAAAAAGAAATAAATAAATAGAAAAGAAAAGAGCTCTTCCCACATTTTACAAAACCAAGTACAGATATAATAGAAAGTATTTTCCAAGATATCACCATCAGGTGATAAAGTTTCAAACCTGAAACTTTAAATGAAGGTTGTTTTAAAAATAACATTTTCAGTTCTCAGATATCTGTGAAAATGCATCATATGTTGTTTTACAACATATTCACTTAGTTTTCTTTTTCTGAGAACAGAACTGCAATTTGTTTCTATTAGTTAACCTATGCAAGCTAACTAACCAGTATACTAGTAACAGACAAAAACTAGGCTTGGATCGACAAATTCTCATCCAAATTGAAAGAGTACCTAAATTAAAATATATAACAAGAAAAACTAAATACATACATATATATATATATATATATATATATATACAGAGAAGTGTATGCATATATACAAACATATACATATATATGAATAGATCTATTTACAGATATCTACAGATTAGGGTATAGCCATTATGTATATACATAAACCTATACTATGAGTGCCTTACTCAATAATGAGTGCAGGTACCCAATAATGATTGACTACTAAAGCATGAATGAATTAATAGTAATGAAAATTCATTATTTTAATATACAAATACCTGATAGATTCAGTATCTATGTGCACAGGTGCTATCCTCTCCAAGAGAAACTTGATCATTTCCAGAAAAGGATTTGTAGGCTGTTTGGGGTTGCCCAACTTCTTAGTTATTTCTCGCTGTAATGTAGATTTTTAAAATATTAAAAAAGTACTTTTATATAATTCATTACACTAAAATGTTAAGAACCTATAATAATTAAAACCACGTAGTACTGGTGCTGGAATAAACAAATCAATAGGAATAGACTAAGAATTTAGCATAGGAGAAAGGTAATATTTCAAGTAAGTAGAAAAAAGGTAGGTTATTCAATATATTGTTATATTGAAATACGTGAACAGACATTTAGAATAAAGGCAGAGTTATATCCCTATCTCACACCTTACACCAAAAATATTCCAAAACGATGAAAATAAATACAAAAGAATAAAACCAAGGGTCAGTGGACACACAAACTTCAACAAGCAAAATTATTAGGGGAGCCCATTAAAACTACAGATTTCTGGGTCTCATTGTGAAGATTCTCATTTAGTCAACCTGGCGTAGAGCCAAAAATCAACTTTTTTAAAAAAGAATTTAGGACAATACATGGGCAACAGATTAAGAAATACCGACATCAGGGACTTCCCTGGTGGCACAGTGGTTAAGACTTCGTGCTCCCAATGCAGGGGGCCCAGGTTCAATGCCTGGTCAGGGAACTAGATCCTACATGCATGCTGCAACTAAAAGTTCGCATGCCACATCTAAGGAGCCTTCAAGCCGCAACTAAGGAGCCCGCGTGCTGCAACTAAGACTGAGCACAACGTAAATAAATAAATAAATAAATATTTTTGAAAAAATACTGACATCAGTAAACATTTTCATTGACCTGCAATAGAATGGGATTTCATAAGCAGGACTCCAAAGGCAAAAACCTTGAGGAGACTGCTGATAGACTTAGCGAGATAACAAAACTATAGTATGTAAAGGACATCATAAACAAAACGAAAAGGCAAAACTACAACAGATAGAAAACTGTATCTGCAGCTTAATTAACATACAGCGCCATGACATACTAACAAATCAGTGAGATAAAGATAAAATATTCCAGAAAAATAGGGAA